GGAGATAGAACGCAGACACCTATGATCGAAGACAGCTAATCCTTTCATGTCTTCCCCTCTCAATGGTCAAGTCTCACAGCCATAAAGGATGACGGAGCGGACTGCTGAGGAGTACACACGCCCTTTGGTCGATAGTCAGATATCACGTCTACGCCAGAGACGGCGTAAACTGGCATGTGTGAAACTAGCCCTCTGTATCCGTGATGAGATTTCGTCAGAGATCAACCCGTTGGAGCAGGCTGATGGTACTTCCCAAGTAAGTGAAGCGGTCAACGTGCTCTACCACTTTACTTCCTATTTCTAATCTAGTGGTCGGTGAAGTCCAATCATGTAACATCATTTTGTATTTGGCGGGAGCGAATCACATGCCAAACATTCGTAGATTGCAGCTCAAGGTGTTCAGAAGACTCTGCATTTTGTCAGCGTCCTCTCCTAGAAGGACTATATCATCTGCATATTCTAAGTCGACGAGATTATCCCCTGGTCGCAATTCAATCCCTGAGTCGCTGAAGTGTGTTAGGTTTAAGTCCATTAGTTCATCTGTGATGAAGTTGAATAGAAATGGGGATAATGGGCATCCTTGACGGACGCCACTAGTCATCACCACTTCAGATGACAACTCGCCGTAAGCCCTCACCTGGCTGCATGAGTACGAGTACAGTTGTACTTGAAATTATACCCAAGGTAGAAAGAGGCAATGGAGAAATTTCTTCTGTCTACATAAATCAAGGTTTCCCATCTGAATCCCTAAGACTTCAGCAATGCAAAGCATAGGGAAGCAGACTGTTTACAGGAGGTATCATTTGACTTTGTAGATAATTTTGAACGGATTTTCATTATTTGTTGTTTGGCCAGTGTCAGCTATGTGTTCAATTATAGCACTCTCCATTGGTCTATTGTGACGTTTCAGTAGCAGTGTGGGATAATCCTAACTCTTTTAGAAAAAAAACACTAATTGAAGAGGCTACACCTGTCACTGGACAGAAGCAAGTGAGTCGGTAGATACACTCAGAAATGGTTAAACGTCACAATTTATCTCTAAAGTTATTAGAGAAACGTTGGGCAGCTGCAGAATGCCTTTGAACTGTATTACTCACGTTTAACATCTTATTGTAAACTGAGATAGGGTTTTGTTTGTTTAGTCTGTTTGTTGAAATGTTTGCTCTTATATCAATGTCAAAATGGGTGTTTTCTGTGAATACCAAAGGTCAGGCAAAAGAACTCAGTGTTAAATGGTTGTAGGCAATTGGCCGGTAGCTCCAAACTTAAATTTCATGACTGTTTACACTGATGTGTAAATGTGTGTCCAAAACTGCTGTGATTTGTTAACCTCTAGTCTATGTTACGTAACTCTTTTGCCATTGTATCCAAGCATTTATTTTTTCGATAGAGAAAGAAAGACCAGATTTGCAGTATAAAATGTGATATCATCATTCTATCTGACAGGTTCTCATCAGTCGCAAACTACCTGAAATTACAGTGGTTATAAATGATAACATTTCATACTTCATTGTTTGAAAGGTAATAGAGAAAACATTAAAAGGTGAACGCATCCGGAATATAAGTATTACAATTTATAGTTTAAGTTACCATCAATTTATATACCATCAAACTATGAAGAAAAAGAAAAAGGGAGAGAGATGAGAGAAGACAGAAAACAGAAAGATCTAATAAACAATGTCAACATGGCAACTCAAGAAGGTCAAAGTTCATCAATTTGAAAACTTGCTTAGTGAGTTGAGCCCACTAATGTGTATGACTAATCAGTGTAATGAAAGTGATATGGTTACCAAGGGAGTGAGAGATTGACTACACTCTCTTTCTGTGTGCATAAGTTTGGTCTGAGAAGTTTGATTGCAATTGCTTCAGCAGTAAATCGTAGTAGATCGCTGTCCTTTGTATGTTTAATATTTTGAAGGATTTGGAAATCTCGACAAAATGGCCCATATCCACAAGGTGTCTGGTAATTGCACTTTGTAAATATCCGCTTCATTTCAAGCATAAGTTTCTTGGAATATGTTCTGAAAACCGGATAGAAGCCCTTCCTTCTGTCCTTCCAATGTACTCGCTGCCGCAGTTGTACGTAAATTTATAAATGCAGTTTGAGGTAACATCAGCAGGGGTGCTTATCCAGTTTCGATTGGCTTATAGAGAATGTAGTACTGTGTAGTGTCACCAGATTGGCTGCAGGGAATCATCTTTCTATTGCTCCTTTCGTCCTGTTGTCAATCTTTTGCGATATGGTTTCTCCTTTGTATGAAATAAACACCTTCTTTTCAACTGTTTGATACTTCTCTTTCTAAACAAGATTTTGAGCGAACAATTGTTTTCGATAACTTCTTCTTCAGGCTCTACAGTTATAAATCCATGAATAATAGAGTACATATAGCCAACAAAGGCAAATAAAAATAATATCAGAAACTGTATTGGGTGCATGTGTAAGTTGAGATGATAGTCCATTAGTTAACATAATCAATCAAATGTGTATAGGGTGTATAGTCAGAAAAAATTGTGATGAAGTGTGAATGAACAATTGGGTGATATAGTGCTGTTTTATAGTCAACAGAATACAAGTGTCATTGGGGTGAGAGAAATGCGATAGCCACAAAATACATTCAAACACACATTAACAAAGGGGACACTGAATGTGAGTGCTGACCGATAATGTCTAATGATAAAATAAAGAAGCTAAATTGGAAATTGTAATTAGATGTTACAGAGTTGGTAGGCTTAGTATAAAATCACAAAGGTTGACAAAATTAAGGGTAACAATGAGGTGAAATAAACTGGTTGGAGAAATGGATAATAAAGACATGATATCACAAAATGATAATGATGGTAATAATAATACGGAAAATTATGACCCTGGTGACCTTATAGTGGGCCAGGGTAGACAGAGAGAGTGAATAATTTTTTCTGTACACATAAGTCTGGTCTTTCTTTATTAATCTCTAAAGCCTCAGCTATGGCTAGGAGGTGTAATTGTGTGCCTTTGGGGAGGTTGTTCGGTACTTGATACACAACTGTAAATAACTCATCTACTTTGATGCAGTGTTCGCTATCCACTAGATGAGACAGAATTGCACTATTTAATGATTTGGTCGCTCTTTTCCCAAGCCATACAGGAATATGTTCACGAGTGCGTAAAGATAAATTCCTCTGGGTACGACCTATATAACTAGCTCCACAGGAGCAGTTGAATTTATATGCACACATTGATGTCGCCATTTTGGGTAATCTACCTTTAATGCACGGTGTCAACATCGGTTTGGTTGAGAAAGTGACATGCACTTTTGAGGCACTGAAAGTTCTTTCAATTGCTCTCGTTAATCTACGGTTTAATATGTCGCTGGATATATTGCCTTTGAATTGTAAATTTAAGTAAAGCTTTTTCTTACTTATTGTGTCTCGCTTAGTTTTGTGTGTAGTTTCATAGATATACTTCTTTACGAAGTTGGTAGGATAGTCGTTTTGTAGCAAGGCGTTTGTAAGATTTTTTATTTCATCTTCAATGCAGTCGTCGGTGCATATGCGCCTAATTCTATGACTAAGACAACGAATTAGGTTGCGCTTATATTGTATAGGTATGAAGCTATGGAAGTGGGTGTATTGTCCATTCCACGTCGCTTTAAGGTACCGTCTGTTCTCTTTGTAAGAAGAACATCCAGAAATGGAATACTACCTTGGAGTTCCTCTTCACAAGTGAATTTAATAGCTGGGTGTACCTTATTGAAGACATGGAGCAGGTGTTGTCTATCTTGATTATTGTTACAAATGATAAAGGTATCGTCAACATATCGACAATAATAATCGAGATTGTTTAGTATCTCTTTTAAAGGACCATTTTCAAATTTAGATAGAAATATGTCAGCTAATAAGGAACCAAGGGGAGAACCCATAGAAACCCCATCTATTTGGCGGTAATACTCCTTATTAAATACAAATTGAACGTTCATAGTACATTTTAGTAGTAATTCTTTCAATTTTCTTGGTGTGATTCCGATTTCTATTTTCTTTTCTACGAGTTGCTCGCATATGTAGTCGACAGTTTCTACAAGGGGGACGTTGGTAAATAGTGATGTTACGTCCAGCGATAACATAGTTTTGTCTGCTAAGTTTATATCTTTAATGTTTTCAACAAAGTCAAAGACATCTTTTACACTATATTTAACCAATTGGCGATGTAGCGGTTCTAACAGATAAACAGATGAACTTCTCTTTCTCATCTCTTTCTTTGCTGTACTTTAGGATAAATCCTTTTGGATACCCATTTTCCTTAAGGCATTTTTCAACAAAGCTTAATTCTTCTTCTACCTTGTTAGGTGAACATAACTTCCTGGCCCTGTCGTACAGTGTCCTTACTAATCCTTGCTTTTTGCTCATAGGGCAGAAGATGTTGTTTAGACTTTGTTTTGTTTGGACTTGAACTCTCTCGATATAAACTATACAAGTGTAATTTTCCAAGCATTGTGGGTTAAGTTGGCAGTCTTCTGTCAACTGACATCACGTAACATTCGCAAGTATGTTAAAATTGTTTTGTACATTAACGTTATCATTTCTTTAAGCTGTACTTAGCTGATGAGAAGTCAGCCAAAATAAACGATAGTACCATGTGGTTCTGACTTAATAAACTGTCATTCATGCTTTATTCAAGCTCATCAAATGGAATAAATTAGCGTATGCACTTTCTGAACAGGCGTTATTTTATCTGATCATGTGACACGATCGATTTCCCAATGTAGCTGATTATTTCGAAGATAGATGGATGGATGGATGACACGTGAACTGAATAATTGATAATAATAGTTAAATAGTGCGGGGATTTATGATTTGTCATCGAGATTGTTATGTCATCGTTTATTAAGGGACTACTAACAATAATAACAATAATAATTACGAATGTGCTGCTCTCTGTTTTCTGTCGACAGCAGTATACCTATAGAGAAGTTGAATATAACTGTTCTGGATATTTCTCTAATATACGTGGTGAACATTTGAGCATGACTGTGAACAAGGTAAATCTGATGGATTCTTTTTGTTTATCTCTTAGTGTATTGATACAAGAAGACAGGGTGACTGACATTTGTGTTTTATTTTGTGGTGTATAAACAACATAGATTAAGATCTTTCCCTTCAAATAATTCAGTTTCATTCAATAGTTTGTATGAAATGGCATCACAGTGTGTAGTTCTGCTTTAGCAGACCCCTTCAGTAGGTCATTGGTGAGTTGAGAAACTAAGCATAAGCTTTTGATTGGGTGGCCAACAAATCAATAAGAAGATGTAATTTGTCTGAAACGTGTAATGTGTGCTTGCACAACACATTTCAAACAATCTGATCACACACACGCGGACTTGTCATAGGAATGGATATATATATATATGAAATTATAAAGAGTTAGGAGGTGAGAAAATAGACAAGTTAGGTCAAGTTAAAAGGACATATTGAAGGTGAAAATAACAATGAAGATCACCAAACCAAATAACACAGGGAATAGTACATCTACCCTGGCTGGTATCAAAACAAAGTTTACCAAGGAAGGTTTAGTGAGATGACGAATTGTTCTTTTGATGAACGCATAAAGGTGGTTTAAATTTCCTAATTGCCGGCTAGGGCTTCCACAAACTTAAGGATACGCCATCCCCAAGCACGTTTTTTGGATGGATAGGTTTAAAAAACGTGTAAACATCAATTTTATGTCCTGTCCCATCTGTAATACGCTTCACAATAGAGGAGCTAGGTCGTGTGTTCTCATCGTCAATTGGTTCTGCGGATTCTATTTGCTTCTGAAGATCTCTGCTCTTATCTGCAAACATCTATGAGTCCTCTCTATGTAAGTGTGTTCACGCGTACATTTAACTTGGAAAATTCAGTGTAATGTGACATCATTTTCTGTATGTTCTACCGTTGTCGAGTTAAAAAACTTCTGCGGTCACCCATATTGGGTAGCTTGATATAAAAATGAGTTCACTGAGAAAATACCCTTATCGACGAATAGTCCCCGCGTGTTGGATCTCAGTTTGATCACGGACTGATATCCTTTAGGGAACCATTGAGATCCAGTTAGGATTACTAAATAGCTAGCTGTTTCGTCCTACTTGGGACCCATCGAAGGCACGCACCCACCGGGGTTCAGACCGATGTGAATGAGTATATGTTGGCTTTTTAGTGCACATTTACAGAAAGTTTCTCAGTTATCGCGGCTAATGTTGTCATAAATCTCCAGAAAAATCGCTTTTTGATTCCCTATGAAATTTGGAAGTATTCAGTGTAATTTTTTGCTGAAGTTTAGTTATCAGCGGTGAAAAATTAAAATGGTAATTAAATCGATAATGATCAGAAATAAAGTATTACACTTGGAAAAAAACCAGATCAAGTGTAGATCGATTTGCAAGAGCTTGTGGACCTGTGCTCAAACTTATTTCGTTGGACATTAGTTGGTAACTAGTATTATGTATCTAGTCCTTTGTTTCCTGCAGACTGAATTCTATCAGTCCAGTTTACAATATGGTGACTATGTTAGTTTGCTCGCCATCAAGGTGGACTGTGAATTGTTGATATAAGATGGTTGGAGGCGATCGGCTACAGGAAGCTTTGCCTAACCCAAGTTTCGTGCTTGTTGGTACTGACCTCCTTACATTCGAAAACGTGTCACACAATGTTGCTGTCAGAGAAGTTACCACTGAGCTATCTGGGATATAAGTTCCTTCAAGGGTTGGAGATACGTCTTGCTGACTCTTGAGTACCAATAAGCACGAAACCTAGGTTCCCGGCTTCCTGCTGATTGCCTCCAGTCGTCTAGTATCAAGAGCTCAAACTTATATTGCATTTCATGTTACAAGTACATCCTTCAAAGCATTCTCAGAAACCTAAAATAGGCACTTATCCTATTCTACAAGGATATTTTCAATGGCAATTACATGTAAACTGATATACAGAATTATTGCAAGCAATCGATAAGCATTGATGAAATGTAATGGATCCATTTTATTCCTAACAAATAGTCTTCATTGCTGTTTTCAAATTCACGAAAGAAAATTAATACACCAGCTTCAAAAGTCACTGTAGATCCATAAGTAATGAAGACACCGACACAACCAACCTACTGATGTTTAGACTATTTGGAACAGCTGTGAGTCAGTAGTCAAGCCTCTACCTCAACTTCATCGACTTTGAAAAGACCTTCGACAGACAGCATTGACCATGAAGTGATTTGGAGCCTACTTCAAAGCTATGGTGTGCAGTGTCCAAGCCTTTGTCAACCTCATTCAACAGCGGGTTATATGACAATGCCGCATGCCACGTGATCCACAACGGAATACTCACTCAGACAGGTGTTCGAGGTGGAGACAGGAGTAAGACAAAGCTGCCTGTCTATTATCATCACGGATGAAATTCTTAATTGTGGTGGACTAAATTATGCGTCAGACTGTGAGGAGGGGCGAGGAAACAGGAATACGCTGGACAACCAGTAAGAAGACACTAGAAGATCTGGATTTCTCACATGGATGATTTATGAATAATGTTTCACAAACTGGAAGACTTACAAGCGAAAACCAACAGATCAGTTGAAGAGGCTAGCTGACAGCGAAGACGGAACTCTGGGTGGACATAGGGAACAACAAGAACAACCAGCACCAATCACCATCAACAAGAGGGATGTGAATCAAGTTGCTTTCTTTAATTATCTAGAAGGCACTATTTTAACCACAGCCAGACGGGACAGATGAAGATGTGAAGCCAGCCGGAATCAGAAAGGCAAGATGTGCCTTCATAAACCCAAATCCAATTTGGAAATTTTCCGCACTCATTCAGCATAAAGAACAAGATTTGTTCGGATTCTGTTCAACACAAATGTGAAGTCAGTCAGTCATTCCTTCTATACGGGTCAGAAAATCACACTGCATGTCATGAAAAGGATTTCCAATAGGCCATAGCGGACTTTTATCAACAGCTGCTACCTTTGTTGGCTCCGTACTGAAGATCAAATGGCCGACCAGCCGGTCAGAAACAATTAGCAAGAAGAAACCCTGGCTGGGGATGAACCAACGGAGAGCCGATCGCTCAACAAATATGCAGGAGAAAATGAAGATGGATCCAACATGCATTGAGGAGGCCATCGAATGACATCGCGCTTAGTGCATGCTATTGCTTGAATGGAATCTCAATGAGAAGCGATGAGTGGGTCGTCAGTGTGAGGGTGACATGGAGGAAATCGTCTGGTGAGGAGGAGGAGAAGGAGATGAGAGAATGTGGGCGACCATGGAGCTAGACAGCTGAAGAGGACAGCAGGTTGAAATGTTGAATGTTTATTCATTTAGACGTATTGGCATAAATTCTTATGAAATTACTCCCTGGCTTTGTCTAAAGAGAAACAGGGGGAATCTTGTGAATGCTGTTAAACTTCTACGTAATATAACGTAGTTCTGCTTGAGAATCCTAGGGAAGAATATGGGGGAAACAATAAGGAAGAATGGGTAGAATATACGGATTAATAAATTGTAAGAGGAGTGGTTGATTTACATACACGCCAGAATGCCTTGACTTCTTTATGTAATAAGTCGAAAACCGAAAGATTTTCTTGCAAATTCAGAAGAAATGAGATGACCAATAGAGATTGAAAGAGAAACTGACATTAAGATTGTTTGTTAATAATCGATTTATTGAGTGGTGATTAGCCTGATTAGGAATAATGGCAGAAGACCTAGTTAGGTGGCTAGAAATGCGATAAACATGTAGTAGTTATATGTCATTTATTCACACGCTAATTAAGCGTTACCAGAGATGATTCCATTGGAATGATAATCCGACTAGGTAGCTGGTTCTCCTAGCTCATTTCGGTGACTGATGGACGAGTAACTTGGAAGCCGTTGTTTTCAAATCCAAGATCTTCTCACTACCAATAATTACCCATTATGATTAGCCAGACTGTACGAATTTTCGCATTCCTATCCACTTGCTATTTACCCCAAGATATAAATAGGTCAGTTGAGGTGAATATACACAGAGTAAGTGATACACGATTCTTTTAACGATTAAATATTTATTATTCTTCAATATTTTGTAGGAAGTGTTGAAAAATTGTCCTAACACAACAAATTTTGGACTTGTATCATTTGAGTATGTACAGCTAATTGATTATATGAATATTTTTCAATAAAATGTAAAATTTTATATTATGATTACTAATCTTCTAGTCTCGATTTACCTCAGATGGGCACTGAAATAGACCCTATGCCCGAAGAGTTCATCGTGTCAAAACTTAAAAATCGATGTTGAGAAATTCTTCTCTCTTAACACACATAAACAGTCATGTCGACTCAATAAAATTCACTATGGAAATAGGGAATGAAACATTGGGGAACTGCCTATGTTAGACTGCAAAATACAAAGAGTAACAGATGGTAGCATAAAAACGACGTCATATAGAAAAACTACACATTCTGGCAGATTCCTTGATTATCACTCAGCTCATCCACTCACGGTAAAACGAGGATTAATACAAGGTCTTGCAGATAGAATACGTAGACTTACAACAACACCAGATGACCAGCGTAAAGAAATAAACGTCCTATTCAGAATGTTACTCGACAACAACTACCCAAAAGAATTTATCAGAGATCATATAAAAAAGAAAGAAAAAGAGGGTAAACCCAGAGAAAAGTAAGAAACTATCACAATACCATATAAAAATGGCACATCACATTTAAACCAACGAATCTAATTAAAAATAAGATAAATCAACTGAAAGATCCGATAAAAGTGATGGATAAAAACAAACAGATATCTTGTACCGAGTGTTCAACTAAATATATGGGTCAAACGTCCAGATCACTCAAAATAAGAGTGAATGAATGGAAATCAATGCCTGACTAAAGGTCAGAATTCATAATGTCGAAACTCAAAAACACATTTGAAGAAAATCAACCATGATTTTGCATCAATTGGCATTTCGTAATCCACTTATCTGACTCTTCAGCTGCAGGCAGCCATGACCCCAACCAGGGGTCAAACCGAAGAAGTTCAGGTTAACAGCGTGAGGTCATTGACCATTCCGATGAATCCAATGGCCAACCCATGAATTCTAACTTATATCAATTCACTGTCCAAGCCCCACCGTCAGCCAGTGTTATAGGTGAGTATTTATATCCTCACACCTGACCAGGTGGATCACAGTGGTTACAATGTCTCACTGGAACTTCAAGCAACTTCTTCTTGTAGTCAATCACTCGTGAGTATCAGGCAGATGGTTTTCGAAAATGGGTTTCAATGCAACAAAATTTTGAAAAATTCAATTTCTACGCGAAATAGACAACATGTTTATTCTAATATTCTAATATTTTCGTCAAAATTCTCTCGACTTTTGTTATTTTGTTATTTTCTGCCAGATATCTCACCGATGTCTGCTCAGTTCGATATCGTTTTGCACCAAATGAAGATGAAGTTATGAAACATGAAGAGTGCCGAAAAACGGTGAATCATTTAATTGAAAATGCTCACACTATGACTTGGGGTGAACAATGGAGTAAGAATGTTGTTTCTCTTCCTTTGTTTTAATGCTTACAATGTATGACAGAATACTTCATTCTTATTTTGGTTTTTGGTGACCAGCAGTGGAATCGAAGATGCGCATTTCCTCCCAGATGGCGTTTGAAATGATGGGTGCAAGGTTTGAGTCTCACTAGGGATGCAGACATATACATGTAGCGAGTCTCAAATAGGATGAAATGTGCATCCTGGATTGCACTGCTAGTCTCCATCAACCAACGTAAGCTTCCATTAATCCTAAGACATTTGTGAAGTGCCAGTACAAGGAGCTGCCTTGTTAACATAGACCGAGCATCTTGGTCCAAATAAAGCAACCGATGGAAATAGTAAAATAACCCCACAGCTTTCAGGGATTTCATTTGATTGGTTACAGGATTTCATCAAAAGCTGACATCAGTAAGAGGACCATTGGAAAACCTGGGAGAGAGTAAAGGACATTTCGATATGACACTAGTAACTAATGTGATGCGTCTAGTCCTCTTCTTGGTTGCCACATTACAACCTGACTGATAGAATTCAGTCTCTACCAAAGAGAGGACTAGACGCATCACACTAGTTACCAGTGTCAAATCAAAATATCCACTACAGTCCTACAGGAGGTCAATCGCGAGCCCGAATAGCTCAGTGGTAACGTCTCTGACTGCAGGTGGCACTGGGTGACGCGGGCTCGAATCTCAGAAGGGACATGAGTTCCTTCAAGGTTGCACATACGCCTTGCTGACGAATGCCAACTAGCACGAAACCTAGGTCCAAGGCTTCCTGTGGCCGATTGCCTCCAACCATCTAATATCATCACAAACAGAGTACACGACAGCTGTTTCATCCTGGTGCTCGAAACATTCCAGCAGTACACACACCGCCAGGGTTCGAATGCAGGATCTCCGGTCACAAGGCAAGCCCGTAGACCATTAAACCACCGGGACCGTCAATCCAACGGCCAGCCTATGAATTCCAACTTCTGCCAATTCAGTATATACTGTGATCACTGGCCAATGTCATCGCTGGTGATTATCTGTCATCACATCTGACGTGCTGTACCCCACTGGTCATGACTTCTCACTACAACTCAGGTAACTACCTACCTGAATGGGGTCAGTCGCCATTGAGGTCTTGGATTCGAACCCTAGCGGTAGATGAGAACTACTGAAAAGTCCCGAGCACTAGTACGTAACAGATTTCCATTACTCCCAGGTGGTTTTCGATTGGTTTTCTAACCAATATCACCTCATGATTAAATCATGTAACTCCGGAGATTTGTTTATTTTATAGGAATAGTAGAGAAGATTTGTAGTCTAACTGGCTATTTCTGGTGGAATGTCTAATTATGAAGCTTTCGTTATTCTTCTGAACGCCATATTTAATGCTGACTTCAGTGTCAAGTGAGATTTCTGGCATTATCCGTGAATGAAACACGCGTCTTTTCTGGTAGCATTTGCTGTGTTTTTATTTATTTCCGTAGATTTCCTTGTGATTATATTTCCCTTTATTGTTACTGGTCCTGTTATTGATTAGACATTTGAGTTTTAATTCAGGTGATTTATGTTTTTATTCACTGATAACTCTGAATTGTATTCCAATGTCTATCAACTGAGAATTGATTTGAACACTGTACGTATTAATTCCCTGTCAGACTCTTTCAAAATGAATAGCTTTTTATCTGAAAGCAGACAGTGGTTTAAATTCACACAAACTTGATGATCTACAAACGAAGACCAATAAGTTGGCAGAAGAAGCAGGCATAGAGGACAGAGCTTCAAGTTGAAACAGAGAAGACGGAGATGATGAAGTTAACCAACCAACCAACCAACAACAACAAGCATCCATCACTATCTAGAGGAGAGATTTGAAAGAGGTAGCTTCCTTCTTTTAACTAGGCAACATAGTTTGAAATACAGGTGCTACAAATTAGGATGCTAGAGGCAGGATTGGGAAGGCCAGATCGATATTCATTCCTCAGAAATCAGTGTCAAAATCTACTGCATGGTTTAGAGACTTGGCGTGCGAGTCATGGAAAACATTTCCAGGGTAGGTTACTGCAAGCCTTCAACGGCTACCTTCTCACCATATTCAAGATCAGATGCTTAGCAAGGTGTAGTGACAAGGGACCCTGACAACGAACTAACCAGAAACCTATCTTCCAACAAATATGCTGAGGGAAATGGAGATGGATCGAATACACGTCGAGGAGACTGTTGGTCACTGGATCGATAGTGACATGAAGGGAATAAAGGTCTAAGAGTATTCATGGAACCAGATAAAAGGACTACCGAAATCCTACTTTCCACTTGAGTCGGTGGCACAGCGGTTAGCACTCTTGCCGACCATGCACATGGTCCGGGGTTCAATCCCCTGCCGACACACACCCGATATCTATGGTCGGCCTACATAACTGGTCTATCGATATCACATGCTAAAAATTCCATACTTGTACTGAAAATACTGTGTAAATATATAATAATAAACTGACAGAACTCAGTTCTCAACTGGATGACTTTTCCAATTTAACTTTTGCATATCATTTAATAGTGTACTCTGTGCACACTTTATATTATTTGTAACGCAGTATCCTTCATTTGTTCTCAATACTTGTTTCCAGTGATTCTCTAACTGATATCAATCCTTGATCAACTCGAAGAAACATAACTAACCCTTACAAACCAAACTATAGAAAATTAATCTGATGCTCACTAGTGACTTGCTACAGGATGGAGTTTCCTGGAGTTCTAGTGAGAAGTCATGACCAGTGAGGTCCATCCAGATGTCACGTGTGAGGATGGATGTCCCACCTACGACAATGGTTGGGGTCGCGCTAAATCACGAATTGGTAGAAGTTAGAATTCATGAGCCATTGAATGGGGTCCCAGTGGCTGAATGGTATACGAGCCAGCCTGCCTTGTGACAGGAAGGTCCTGGGTTCGAACCCCACCTTGGTGGGTGCGTACTGCCGATGATTCCCAGCTGTCAAGTACTCCCTGATTGTGTTCAATGGTTCTCTAACTGATATCAATCCATGATCAACTCGTAAAAAATAAAACTAACCCTTACAAACCAAACTATAGAAAAGCTTATTCTTCTTCTTATTATTATTATTACACAGAATGCAAGCAGCATAACTATACCATACCAGTGACTAGTTATTATAGTTTCAATGTAACTATAGAAGAAGTTGAAGTAGTCGAACTTGAGAAAGCTGTTGACGCGAAATGTATTCTACCAATGATTTCATTGAATCGATCCCTACGAGCCTACTGGTAAGTGTTTCTTCTATCATCTCGCCTATTGAATAATAAGTTAGTGAATGTGTGAACTGATGCTTTCAAATATGATAAATTTAATTAAATAGTGTGAAATATTCCCATATCCCATGAATTATTAGAAGTCAATCTGAACGAAGAATATTTTCTTTTCAGTACATCCTTCTCCACTTCAGGTTCCTACAATTATAAAACAATTATAATATTTGTTGTCGTTACAATAATGACAGCCAGTTATGCATGCGGCGGATACATTTCTTTTCAACGTAGAATAAGAGATTAGTAGTTATGGGGTGTGAAAATAAATAGTCGTATTTGTGTGACAAAACTTCGTGCTCTGGGTTTACTGAAATCGATTACAAAATATTTCGGTGAAGTGGGAGACAATGTCGTGGTGATATATTATAATAAAGGTTTTTTTGCATTTCTCAATGAGTGAAAAAAACAAAACGATATTGTTTTTACTGACGTTTCGCTATTTAATGGAGAAAATAAACAACGTATCCCCCAGAATCCAGTTTACTTCAGAAGCAGAATCAGACGTCGGTGAACTACCATTTCTAGACTGCCCACCTAGTTAAGAGAAGGGAAAAGGGACATTTTAGTATATCCATATTCAGGAAGAAAACCCACTCCAACAAATTTTTAGACTTCGGTTCATCACACCCCATCAGCGCAAAGGTATCAGTTGTTTCAAGTCTTCTTAGACGAGCACACTCTTCGATGTAAACGGATGAGAAAGAAAAAGAAGAAGAAATATCAAACATTACTGAAACTCTCAAGCAAAACAACTACCCAAAGAACTTCATCAACAAAATCAACACAGACATTAAGTATGGTCGAAAACGTATTCCGAAGACATGGACCTCAACAGTTGTCATTCCATATAGAGCAGAGACGTCAGACGATATCAGAAGAGTACTCAATAAGCTCGACATTAGAGTTTTCTTCAAAACATCAGACACACTGCGAAACAACCTTGTCCACATTAAAGACCAAATCCCTAAAGATTCTGTATCTCATTGTGTCTGTGAAATAAAATGCTTCCTTGAAAAGTGATGCGATATACATCGGATAAACATCTCGAGAAATTAAGGTAATTAGAAGAAATGAACACCATAGGGCATCTGTTCGACCAGCCAGAAATCCAGTGAGTGAACTAGAAAAGCTTGAAAAATCATCAACCATAGGTCGTCTACACGCAATGCTATAGAATCACGCCACAAAACTGATTTTGACAATATTGAAATAATTCAGAAAAATTTCAGAAATCACAAAGAACGTCTCACATAATCAGAAGCACCTCATATCATCAAGTGGAATCCAAATTGTCTGATTAGGAATGATGGACTAAAACAGAATTTGACCTGGTTACAACATGTCCCTCCCGCCCCATGAAATGACAAAGTCAACACAAATGTGATAAGCAATTTCATTATGTAAACACACACTGCTTTTAAAATTTTACACACTTATCAAATTCAACAATCTACACTTAGTTTTGTTATCTTTACCAATTGGCCGATTCGACAACGCAAAAATGACCCCATGTTGAGGAACGATGATTAAGTTGTTCTATAGAAAAGCTGAGTGGATCTTGTAAATTCTGGTTTATTAAGACTACTTTCATAAAGTTATTAGCAGCAGCATTAAATAGCGAAACGTCAGTAAAAACAACAATATCGTTTTGTCTTTTTCATTCATTGGGAAATACAAAAAACCTGTATTAAAATGAATATCATATACCCAATGTCCAAATTTTTCAAACTGTTAAAATTGAACTTGGTTTGGACATATATAATGGTGGTGATTAGTCATAATAGATTTGCAGAGTGTAGGGTAGGAAAATAGACAAGTCAGTTCAAAGTTATAAAAGGTGTCAGGTGAGTGGAGTTTCTAGTTCAAAGGGATATCTATTAAACGGCAGGAGATAGTAAGACTGCGATGAGACGTTCACAGTGAAATAACGAATTGAATAGTGAACTGAAACAGGTGGAGGCATATGTGGAGAAAAGAGATAATATCACTAATCATAAGTCCGGATAGTATAAGTAGAAAATCCGGTAGTACTGAGAGGATGTTTGCATGAAGGGTATAAATTATGAATAATAATAATTATAAGCAAAGAAAGAAAAATAAAACCAAAAGGGTTAAGGGGAAAAAGCACTCTTGATGAGAACAAGCATCATCACTCCAAGTTTGGCCACGGTAGGAACAGAGTCTAGACGTGTTCCTTTTGGATACAAAGTTCCGGTTTAGTCGATCTTATTGCAACAGCTTCAGCTATGTGTAACATATGTGGTTGCAGATAACAGGCAGAGGATTGTGGAAGCTGATTTTGTGATTAACTGACACTCATTTATGCATGAAGCGATATACTACTGGTTGGCTGATATGAGTAGTTTCATCCCACACATGTCAATCAATAGTGGTGTTGCTAGATAGACAGAACTAAGTGATCCAAACACCAGACGGCTGTTTCGCTCGTTTGCAGCCAAACTCGTCGGCAGAGCCGAACCAGTTCAAATCATCCTATTTCTGGCTAGCCAATTGGACAAAATGGTAACACATTGGATTCGAATCATTTAATTCGCAAGTAAAAGGGTTGTTATGAATGGTAACTGACTACTTATTTTCATCAGTCAGTCAGTAGTATATAGCACTACACAATTATGCTTATTTTGTTGACCAAGATGGTTTATGATATCAGGCTGATAATCTATTGTAATCACGCAATAAATTTTTGGATTTTTCTAAAGAAATATAAGAATAAAAATTGTGCACTGTGGTAGAGTGTAATTCCATTATGGGTAAACTTTGTTTTGATAAAGTCTCACAGTGTTATACAGTAATATTTACTGATGACGTTTCGAGCACAATTTACTCTATATCAGGAACTTTGGTGAAACCCCACCTCCTCAAAGTGTACAAACTGCAAGCTGGGAATTTGGTAGTTTCAGGTTGGAGTACCATTGAGAACCAGGGAGTACTGGAAGACTGTTTCGTCCTAGTCTGGGACTCATCAATACTACGCATCCACTGACTTTCAAACAAGACAAGCAGGTACACAATTCAGCCACTGGAACCCAATTCAATGGCCAGCTCATGGATTCTAACTACTACCAATTCGTGATCCTTGCTAGTGACCGGCTACAGACTGAAGTTGCCTGGAGTTCTAGTGAGAAGTCGTGACCAGTGAGGTCCATCCAGTCAAGTGTGAGGATGGATTTGCCACCGATAACATTGGTTGGTGCCAGTCGCGCTAAATCACGCATCGGTAGGAGTTAGAATTCATGACCTGGCCACTGAATCGGGTCGCAGTGAGTGACTGGATGGTATACAAGCCGACTTGCCTTGTAACCGGAAGGCTCTGAGTTGGAAACTCAGTGGATGTGTTCTGATGATGAGTTTCAGACTAGGGCAAAACAGCTGTCCACTACTCCCTGGCTGGTTTTCGGTGGTTCTCTAACTGATATCAATCCGTAGTCTAACCTGTAACCCCTACAAACTAATTTCCTTTTGTTTGTGTAGGTTTCTTTATGATCAAAGCCTCATTGCATCACTCAGTCCGAGTAAAATTGTAGAAACTCGTGGGCATTCCGCAACCAATGATCGCAGGTCATCAACAGCCTTCTATCACGGTTTCTATAATGGACTGAAAATGATGCAAGGATTTTCCAGGAGGCACATTGAAGCCTTCCGCTACAACACAAAGAAGTCTTAAATTTAGCTACATCTCTTCCTGTCAATCAGTTCCAATTACTGTGAAGAGCTTTCAGCCTCAATGACCACAATTTCTCTTGAGCTTCAATGAATAACTTCTGCATATCTGCCAGCTTCACAGTTTATGCTCTCATTGCATCTCAAAAAACTTCTCTTTGATATCAGATATGAGTGGATAAATAAAAAATGAGTGTTGTCTAAATTGGATTCACAAGACGCTAAAAACTAGAGCCTGAAGGCTGTTTTAGCCACGTCAATTGAAGCAAACCGGTCGGGTATTTCCTTCTGTCAAGAAGTAAGACAGACATTCTGCCTTCCTGCTTTGTAGAGAAGGGGTTAGAAAGGGTTGACTCTAAGATACATAAACTTCAATTAACTCTGTAATGGTCTTCAGTTAGGTGAAAGTAGTCAACAGGAAGTTCCGTATGATAACCTCCAGAAAAGTGTTTTGGCATCCTTGAAAAAACTGATATCACCCGTGAGATTTTAAACAGCCTCGCCCAGTACTACAGTGTAATATGATACTAGTGTTATTTTGGCTGATGGTGGCTAACAATGGAGTCTAGGGTGCGCATTTTGTCCTGCTTGGGAATCATCAACTGCCTGTACCTGCAGCCTCCAATTGTTGGTAATGTTCCCATTGAAATTCGAACTGTGCACCCATCGTTTCAAACACCAAAGCCTTATTCACTAAGCCATTGGTTAACTGTGAAATGCTCGGTGTCTTCTGCCGTCTCGCCTCCTATTACGGACGTTTTGACGATATCCGAGGATTAAAATGATGTTATTTTTCTTGGTGGGGACTAGTAGTGGAAATCAGGATGTGCATTTCGTCTCATCAGACAACTGGAGACGCAGATGAACTGTTGCGATGTTACCGCTGTGTTACTCCAAGTAAGGATTAGTCTCTACTCAGTAACCATTGTCGTATGACATGTTTTTCTTTGACGTTGTGGATACGCTTAGCTGACAAATACTGTGTAACACAAAATCAATATATGTGGCTTCTGATCCTAATAGAATCAAAAGATACTCGGTGTTTTATTCCCTTTAATAGCAGGATGAATTATTTTGGTGGATATCAATGGGAAATCGATTCTGTGGAACAATGCAGTGAACCATTTTTAGACCCACCAGATTTAAAAATACTGCCAAAACTAAGGAAAAGTAAGTCTTAGATTTTGCAGTTTGTAGGTCCTGTACTTTATATATATATATATATATATCACATCACGTAGAACCCTGAAGATTGCAAGTAGGGTTAATGTTACGTATGCCTTTGACTCGGCTAACTGACATCGTTATTGTCGATAGGCGCCTCGATTCTTGCAAGCAGTTGGCTAAAGTTATCTTGTCTGATATCGGAAATCCTCTCTGCTTATTCGCAACTTTTTCCTTGTATATCTTCGCGTAAAACAGGAATATATAAAAATATAAAAATTCAACCATACCACCGTATTTAGCCCAGGTTTTGTGTGAAGAAACAGTCAGATGACAGACAAGAGCTCATAAACTTTCAAAATCAGTAACTGGACCGTAAAGTATGAGCGAAGGCTATTATTCTTACATGTCTTTTCAATGATATTATCTGCCAATTTATAATTCATTATGATCCGCTGACCTTCAGGTTTTGTGGTTTTATCATGGTTATTATTTTTAATTATACATATATTCACTTAGAATGCCTCGCTGAGTTTTCCCTTGTGGGTCACCTGACACGTGGCATTGTCATACAGCTAGCTGTTGAATGAGATTGATAAAGACCTTGGCACTGCACACCGTAGGGCTGAAGCACTTTCCAAATTACTTCACAGTCAGTGATGTCGAAGGTTTTTCTAAAGTCGACGAAGTCAATATACAGGTTTGACTGCCATTCTATGCTTTGTTCGTTGTGAATGGGGAACTGAAATGATGCCGACATGTTGAAAGTTTTCAGAAAGTCAGTCAGTCAGTTATTCGGTCAGTGCTGTAACAGCAATGACAAGATGTGGTAGATAAGTGCTCTCTGTTTATTATACCACATATTATTATTATTATTGTTCCTTTGGGTTCCTAGTGGAACATAGGGCTTCAACTGCACGTCTCCACTTGCTTCTGTCTTCTGCTGTTCTTTTCACTTGCGTCCATGTTATTCCATACTGTTTCATCTCCTCTTCACACGATCTCCTCCATGTCACCCTTGGACGTCCCACTCGCCGCTTCCCTTTCGGGTTCCACTCGAGGGCCTGACGCGCGATGTCACTCAACGGCCTTCTCAGCGAGTGTCCAATCCATCTCCACTTCCTCCTGCATATTTGTTGGGCGATTGGTTCCTGTTTCGTTTGTTCCCATAGCTTCTTGTTTGTGATTCTTTCTGGCCATCTAATCTTCAGTATGGAGCGAAGACAGTTGTTGATAAAGGTCTGCAACCTGTTGAAAATATTCTTGGTGACCCGCCAAGTTTCTGATCCGTAAAGCAAAATTGACTTGACGTTTGTATTGAAAATCCGAATTTTGTTGTTGATGGTGAGTGACGAAGATTTCCAGATTGGTTTCAGGTTGATGAATGTGTTTCTCGCCTTCCCGATTCTCGATTTGACATCCTCGTCCGTTCCTCCTGTGGTTGAGACAATGCTCCCCAGATAAGTGAAAGAAGTAACCTCTTTCAAATCCCTCCCGTTGATGGTGATTGGCACTGGATGTTGCTGCTGTTGTTGGTTGGTTATTTTCATAACCTCCGTCTTGTCTATGTTCACCTGGAGTCCTGTCTTTGCTGCTTCTTCGACCAGTTTGTTGGTTTTTGCTTGTAAGTCTTCGATTTTGTGTGACATCAAACATAAATCATCCACGTGCGAAATCCAGGTCTTCTAGGTTCTTCACGTCGGTCCAGGATATCCCTGTCTTCTCGTTTCCCACTGTCTGACGCATAATCCAGTCCACCACAATTAGGAATATCATTGGTGATAATAAGCACCCTTGTCTGACTCCTGTGTTTACTCCAAACGCTTCGCTGAGTTTTCCGTTGTGGATCACTTGACATGTGCCGTTGTCGTACAGTTGTTGAATAAGGTTGATGAATATTTGGGGTACGCCGTAGTACTCGAGTAGTTTCCAAATTACTTCGCGGTCGACGCTGTCGAAGGCCTTCTCAAAGTCTATGAAGTTGAGGTAGAGATTTGATTGCCATTCCATGCTTTGTTCGATGATAATGCGTAGAGTTGCAATTTGGTCAGAACATGATTTGCCTTTCCTGAATCCAGCTTGTTCTGGTCGGAGTTCTGTATCCAACGCGTCCTTGATTCTCTCCAGGATGATGCGACTCAGGATTTTACTTGGCGTCGACAGGAGCATGATTCCTCGCCAGTTCTTGCAGAGTCCTAGGTCGCCCTTCTTTGGTAGTTTCACCAGGTAACCTTTCCTCCAGTCAGTAGGCACCTTTCCCTCTTTCCAGATCTTTTGCAATAATGGAGTCAGCATATCTGCCGTCGTTTCTGGGTCCGCTTTCAGTGCTTCCGGGGGTATTCCATCTGGTCCAGCTGCTTTTCCAGCTTTCAGAAGCTTGATTGCATTCATGACTTCAGTTTTCGTTGGAGGATTGGTGTCAACTTGCAGTTGTGTACGTGCTGTTGTTGGTATTACTGGACGGGTTGTAGGTGGTGGTCGGTTCAAGAGTCCTTTGAAGTGGTCCGCCCATTGTTTAATCTGTCTTTCTTCTTTGGTAATTGGGTTCCCTTGGCTGTCTTTTATAGGTTTCACTTGTGTTGATCTCTTCCCGGATAGAGACTTGGTTATCTGATATAGTGTCCTCAGGTCCCTTTTGCCTGCTGCCTTCTCAGCTTCAGTAGCCAGGTTGTCGTAGAATTGTCTTTTGTCCTTCCTGGCACTCTTCTTCACTTCTTTGTCCAGTGCTGTGTAAGTTGAGTTCAGCGTCTCTTTCTCTTGTCCATCTTTGCATTGAATCATTTTCTCTTTCACTTTTCTCCTCTCCTCTATTAGTTTCCAAGTGTCTGTTGAGAGCCATTCCTTGTCTTGTTTCTTCTTTCTTCCTAAAACCGTTGAGCACGTTTCGTTGAAAATTACCTTCAGAGAGTTCCAATGGTCTTCCACGGATGATTCCTCAGTGGTGCCACGTAGTGTTTCCTGCTTTGCTCTGACAGTTGCAGTGAAAATGTCCTGTGTGATTGTGTCCTTCAGTTTTTGCGTGTTGAACTTGCATTGTGGCCTATCCCCAGCTATCCTCGAGGCTTTCAGCTTCACTTTGAAAGTCCCTTGTACTAGATAGTGGTCTGAACCCACATCTGCTCCTCTCCTCGATCTTGTGTCCAGTAGGCTCCGTCTCCACTTCCTTGAGATTGAAATGAAGTCTATCTGGTTTTTGGTGTGTCCATCTGGTGAAATCCATGTTGCCTTGTGTATATCCCTGTGTTTGAACACACTGCCACCAATCACCAAATCATTGAAGGCGCAGAAGTCTGAGAAGAGTTCACCATTTTCGTTCATTTCACCGAGGGCCTCACGACCCATGATGAGTTCTCTTCCTGTATTGTCTCCTCCCAGTTTTGCATTCATGTCGCCCATCAGGATTTTGATATCGCTCTTTGGGACGTTGTCCATTACTGTTTGTAGTTGACTGTAGAAATCCTCCTTCTTCTCATGTTCTGAGGCGTTTGTAGGCGCGTAGCACTGAATGATTGTAACCTTCTTTCCTTTTGAGTTGAACCTGGCTGTCATTATCCTGGAGGAGATTGGTTCCCACTGCATGAGAGCTTTAGCCGCTGTTGGTGACATCATGATGGCTACTCCCTCGGTGTGCTCGTGATTGTCCTCTGGGTGACCGGAGTAGATTATTGTCTCTCCAGTTGATAGTTGGCTCCTTCCACATCCGTTCCATCTGCTCTCGCAGATTCCCAACACTTCTATTCTATATCTCCTCATTTCTGCAGCTACCTGAGCAGCCTTCCCAGCTTCGTACATTGTACGAACATTCCACGTCCCCATCCTTATTTTCGCTTTCATCGAAAGAAGGCACATCGGCTGACTGGCTTCCCGAAGTCTTTCACCAGCCTGCGTCATTTCACTTCCCCGATTCCAGTGAAAAATAAGGTTATTGTTTGTATTTTTAGAATTTTGAATATATTTGTGCGTTGAAGTTTTAGTAGCAATCTGGTTAAGTTTTGGGGGTGGAGTTGCTAGCACCACGCCCCAACCCTCCCTCTTTATCCGGGCTTGGGACCGGCTAGAATACTAGTGACCTAGTAATCTAGGCGAGGTTAATACCACATATAAATGTATATAAATTTCTTAAAATAAAGGTTTATTCTATTTCCCAATGAGTGAAAAACAAAACGATATTTTTTTATTGACGTTTCGCTATTTAATGCTTAGAGCTTTATCAAAGTAATATTAAACCGGAATTTACAAAATCTCAGCTTATATATAACAACTTAATCATCATTCCTTAATATGGGGTTATTTTTCGTTGTCAAATTGGCCAATTGGTCAGGATAACATAACCAGGTGTAGATTGTTGGATTTGATCAGTGTGTAAAATTATAAACCCAGCGTGTGTTGACATAATGAAATCGCTTATCACATTCGTGTTGATTTTGTCATTTCATGGAGGAGGGAGGAGTTGTAAGGAAGTCAAATTCTGTTTTAGTCCATCATTCCTATTCAGGTAATTTTGATTCCACTTGACATGAAGTGCTTCTGATATTAGACGTTCTTTGTGATTTCTGAAGTTCTTCTGGATTATTTCAATATTGTCAAAATCAATTTTGTGGCCTGATTCTATAGCACGTAGACAAGCTATGGCTGATGATTTTTGAAGTTTTTTTAGTTCAACGGGATTTCTCGGTGGTCGAAGAGATGCTCTACGGTGTTCATTTCTTCTGATTACCTTGATTTCTCTCTGGCGATGTTAGTCCGATGTATACCGTATCACATTACAAGCATTTCATTTAACAGACACAATTAGATAGAGAATCTTTAGGGATCAACACAAATGTGATTAGCAATATCATTATCTAAACACACGCTGTTTTACAATTTTACACGCTGATCAAATCCAACAATCTACACTCGATTTTGTTATCTTTACCAATTAACCAACTTGACAACGAAAAATGACCCCAGACAGACGAACGATGATCAAGTTAGTAAACTTTATTTTGATATCATAACAGATGTACTATTAACTTTGTTATTTGGTTTAGTGATTTTCATTGTTATTTTGACTTTCAATATGTCCCTTTAACTTGACCTATGTCTATTTTCTCACCCCCTAACTGTTTGTTATATATATATGCTGAGATTTTGTAAATTCCGGTTTTATATTTCTGATAAAGCTATTAGCATTAAATACCGAAACGTCAATAAAAACAATATCGTTTTGTTTTTCATTCATTGGGAAATAGAATAAACCTTTATTATAATGAATATCATATACCCTTTGCCCCAATTTTTTCAAACTTCTAAAAGTGAACTTGGTTTGGACATGTATATAAATTTCTGTTTATGAGCTCTATTCCTGCACTCCTTTTCATTTACACACAATTTGATTCCTGTCTTCTTATCTATTGCTATTTTCCCTTTTTAGATAAAATATTCTGCAGTGTAGTTATCTTTATACTTTATGGACATTTAAAAACAGCTAATTACGACAATATTTTCAAGCGTATTTCCAATGTAGTTACCCATCTTCAGTCGACTTGTTCACATGTGGAAGCGTATGAATTTCAAAAAATTCGTTCAAATTATCTTGCTTTGATTGATATGCTTATCGACAGAACTATTGAGGCTGGAAATTATGGTTATCCTCAATATGAGTTAGTTTTATTAATACTTAGTCAATTAATTAATTAATTAATTATTGAATTGATTAAATTATAATTCATTTTTATTTAATGAATGGAATGGAATCGTTTGAAGCATGGACAACAAAAAAGGGGACTCTGGCAGTCACTGAACCCGCCAAGAACCTACTTCACAACGTATGTGCAGAAGTAGATGAAGGTGGATTGTGAGGACCCTCTATTAATGTGACGCGTAATGCAGATCCTCCAGTCGAACCAGAGTAAAAGACGACAAGTTGGGTTAGTTTTTGAGGATGACATACGGGTGATGATGTGAGCAACTAGGGGACCAGCTAAAAGAGACTACAGACAACAGAGTATAATGTTTCCCCCGCGGAAACCTAAAAGAATAATAATATTAATTCCCTCGGATTGCGAGTAGAATATAGAACTTCAACAGCACATGCTCATTTTGTTCTTTTCTCTGCTGTTCTATTTAGACTGCCCCAAAATCGTCCATAGGCTCTCATCTTTACCTAACACGATCTCCATAAAGTCACTCTGGAGCGATCAACTACTCACTTCTTATTCAGGTTCAACTGTAGGGATAGCCTCACACGCACACTGTCACTACTCAGTGGTTTCATGAACGTCTATCCGATCCATCTGCATTTTCTTCGGAATGTTTGTTGAGGAACAGGCTCTTGATTGGTTCATTCCTATCTGATCTTCAGTATGGAGCTAGCGAAGTTGACAGCTGTTGAAAAAAGTTTGAGTCGGCCTACCGGAAATACTTTTCGTGGAGTGCAGTGCAATTTTCTACCGCATATGGAAGAATTGACTGGCTCAACATGGGTGTTGGAAATTCGAACCTAATTCTTCATGCTGAGCCAGTGCAGAAGATTTTCAAACTCATATCAGAGAGTGATGAAGGCCTGTTTCGCAGTGTGGTTGAAATCGCGATGATGCCTAGACAAGTATACGAAGTGACCGCCTTCATATTTATTCCGTTGACAGTGATTGATGATTGTTGTTGTGGTTGTTGTGTGTTGGTTATTTTCATCACCTCCATCTTTTCTACGTTCAATTCAAATCCTGTCCTCACTGCTTCCTCGGGTAGTTTTCTAGTTTTCTTCTCGAAATCCTGGAGTTTCTGTGACTTCAGGCATAAAACATTCTTGAAGTTAAAATCTTCTAGAGACTCCTTTATGACTCTAAAAACGGAATAAATTAAAAACAACCAGTCCGGCGAAGAGTTTCTTTTCGGTGGCGAATTCCCTCACTTAGCTGCACAATTGCAATGATATATAATTATCTTTTGATGTGTGTGTGTGTGTAAATTAAGTTTGATTGGTTGGAAGATTTCATCACGAGCTGACATCAGTTGTAAAACCATTGGATAACAAGCCGGGGAGTACTGGACAGCTGTTTCTACTGTCCAAGTTTGGAACTCTCCACCAGTACGCACCTACCGGGCTACGAACCCAGGACCTTCAGGCTACAAGGCGAGCTCATAGATCGTTAGGCCACTGAGACACGATCCAATGACCATTATAGTTATTTGTATTAAGAACTGTAGTACTATTTAACAATGACAACACTTCAAAATGGAAAATGATCTCAACAAAATAACTGTTAGGCAGCTATAGACAAATGCGACAGTTTCTCGAGTACAAAATAAGCACCCAAAACCAACTGTAAGAAGTACCTGAGAATCAAGAAGAACATGCCCAACAAGGTTGGATCAAGACTCTGTCAGCAAGCATCAAGCACCAGAGAATTATAGAAGAGAGTCGAAGATCAGAATAACCTTGACTCACTCATATACAATCTCAGTCGCAAAAGACAAAGCAATAAAATTAGAGATTAAACGGGATCAAGGACAATTAATAAGGATTAAGTCAACACATGGATGATATGCAAACGTCAGAAGAATGATTTACAGTCAAAGAGAAATTATCGTCTGTCTCCTTTAGTTTCTAGAGGAACATAGGGCTTCAGATGCACCTCTCCATTGCCTTTGGTTCTCCATCAACGTTTTCACCTGGCTCACCACCACGTCTGTCTGCCCACATGCTTTCATCATCTCCTCTTTGCATCACCTCCTCCACTCCATGTCACCCTCGCACTGACGACCAACTAACTCGCCGCTTCCCATTCGGATTCCACTCGAGCGGTCGTCTGACATGTGATTTTACTTGACGGCCGGTTTTCTCACAATATATGGCCAATCCACCAACTGGATTTCTTCCGGCATATTTGTTGCACATTTGCTTCCTGCTACGTCGGTTGGTTCGTTCATTGCCAGAGATCCCTGTTGCTGATCTTTTCTGGTTATCTGATCACGAGTAGTATTGAGCGAAGACAACTGTTGATGAAGGTCTGTAGTTTGTTCGAAGTGCCCTTCGTGTTGCGGCGCCAAGTCTCTGATCCGTATAGTAGCACTGACTTCACATTCGAGTCGAAAATCTGGATCTTGTTTTTCATGATGAGTGCTGTTGATCTCCACATGGACTTGGGAGTAATGTAAGCTTGCCTTGCTATCCCCATCCCTGCTTTGACATCATCATCAGTTCCATCCGCCTGTAGTTGAAACGATGCTTCCCAGGTAGGTAGGTAGTTAAAGGAGGTTGCTTCTTTCAGGTTCCTTCCATTTATGCTGATTGTTGTCTGTTGTTGTGGTGGTGGTTATTGCTGATGTTGTTGGCCAGGAATCTTCATCACCTCTGTTTTCTCCATGTTCACCTGAAGGAAGTCCTATCTTCTCTGGATGCTTCTTCTTCTTCTATCACCAACTAGTTACTTTTCACATTCACACTTTCCACGAGGAGAAAAGAGAAGAATAATTAAAATTTCAGTATAGAAAATATCCCCATTTAGACATTTGGAAAACAGAAAGATTGAGCAGAGAAGAAATATTTACTTTTCAATTAGATCCTCATCTCTGGCTCTACTCTAATATACATGTATAGCATTTTTATTACAATACACAACAGTTTACCAAACAAGTGGCACTGATATGTTTGTGAACAATAATTAAACAGTGTCAAAATGTCAATGGGTAGATAATTAACGCAGAAAATCAATACACATTTAAAAAGTAGAAATGGATAGAATAAATTAATTTTACAAGAATAACACGTAATTAGAGATGAAGTGGTCAAAATAAAAATAAAATAATTTGGACAATTATAATTTAATAGGTTTAGGAGGAAGGGGAGGGGGCGACGTAGTCCTGTCTTGTAACGATGGCCACGGTAGGGAAAGTGGCTGTACACATTTCTTCTGAACACATAGGCTTGGTTTCTTCTGGTGGATTCCGATTGCTTCAGCTGTCTGTAGAAGACGAACTCGCAGAGCAAAGTTAAGATTAGCCGGAATACGATAAATAATTTTAAATGCAGTATTCACATCGACCTTGTGCTCAGTATCAACAAGGTGTGCTAAAATAGAACTACGAATAGATCTTGTTTGTCCCTTGCTTAAACATCCTGCAGGATGATGTTCAGAAATACGACGATGAAACTGCCTAATTAAAATTTTGTTAGTTGATACATCCGAAGAAGCATCAATATTATGATTAGATCGTTCAGAGGGGATTTTCCAAGATTATCTCGTCAAAATTAATTCGAATGCATTTGAACAGCCTAGTCAATATGTGCGTCGGTGGCATAGTGGTTAGGACTCTCACCGACCATGCACATGGTCCGGGGTTCGATCCCCTGCCGACCCTCACTCGATATCTTTGGTCGGCCTGCAAAATTTGAGCTACCGATATCCATGCTGAAAATTCCATACTTGTACTGAAAATACGGTGTGGCATCAAGCGGTAATCAAAATAAAAATAATAAATAAATAAATATACCGTGAATTACACTCCCTGAAAGGTATGAAGTAAGTATAAATTTTGCTTAGATCACAGATACGTTTATCATCTGTCACCTGAATCGCCTGTAATCTGATACACAACTACATCTCTGTTCTGTTCTGTTCTGTTTCTTGTTTTTGCTTTGCTTTCTTGTCACTAATCTTTGGCGTCAATTTTTTATTCACTTGCAACCAGTATTATAGCAGTATTATGGGGAATTATGCGACATTTTAGTAGAAGCATAGCAAATTATTACGGGAATTATTTATACGCACAAGAAGAAAGTGAACGTCTACGCGGTTCAGTGGTTTTCGCTCATCCTAAAAAGCCAAATCACACAGTTCATGTAAGCCATATTTATTGGTTCAACGCATTACACATTGGTTTTTATCACCTCTATTACATATATATACATTAAAACAATTAGTCCTTCTTTGATACCCATACCTAAATCGTCTACTGGAGCATGTGTCAAATTTAGACCCATTGCTATTACCTCTCCTTTTTTAAAAACTATGGAGAAACTACTTTTACTTAGTCTTGTACCCTCTCTTAAATCCTTTAATGACCCAAAACAGTTTGCATGTAAGCACAGTAGAAGCACTTTAGATGCAGCTGCCGTCTTATATCATAACATTGCTTCCAGTCTAGACAAGGGGGCTAAATTTGTTCGTTGTGCCTTCCTAGACTATACATTTGCTTTTGACTCGGTCCCTAATGACATCTTATTAGATACACTTGCTGCAAGTCAAACACAATGTTGGGTTGTTAACTGGTTACATTCCTATTTCTCAGAACGAGAGAAGTAAGCCGTGTATAAAGGGAAGTCTTGCCTACTGAAGCTGGTGTCTCTCAAGGCGCTGTCCTTTCTCCTTTTCTTTTTTCTTTCTTCTTACATGACTTGCCTCACTCTGATGAAATAAACTTTGTGAAGTACGCTGATGATTTAACAAATTCAATGGCTGTCAACTGCCAACTAGATTGTAGCAAAATAAATAGCTTTCTGTCGAAAGTCAGTAAATGGTTTGAGTTTAACGGTCTTAAACTGAATCCTTCTAAATGTCAAACTGTTAATTTCAGCTTAAGATGTAAACGACAGTTAAAAGAAGCCGTCGATTCTCATGACAGTTGTAAGATTGATGAAAATGATATAGGAACTAAATCAGAAATTAAGTATCTTGGACTTATTCTCTCTTCTGATCTCTCCTGGTCTTCCCATGTCTCAGCGATCTCCAGTAAAATATTCCGCCTGACATTTTACATTAAGAAGTTAAGGCACTCGGGTATAACTCAACCCCTCCTCTTACAGTTCATAAACTCTTGCATCCTATCTATTCTTCTTTACTCTTCAACCTTATTATTTCCTGGTTTGCTTATAAAGGACTATGTCACAATTCGTAGAATGCTGAAGACTGTCAGTGTAGGATGAGTGGTGTCCCAGTGGACCACATAGTTAACGTCGTTGTCGATAGGCACTTGACTTCGTGCAATAAATTTGCTAAAGGGATTTTGTCTGACTTGGAGCATCCACTTTACCCTCAGCTTTCACCTTGCATCTCCTCAGGTAGAACAAGAACTAACTTCAGAAAACTGTATGCTCGCACGTCTAAGTATAAAAATTCTATGATACCATACTTGGCACATATTTTATGTGATGAAAATAGCGTCAGGCAATAATTGACTAACCTTTTTTCATCTAGTAAATAAACAATCTCCTCCATCCATCTTTATATACCTTGAAGTTTTACTTTTATTATTTCTATTATATTTATCTTCCTGTTGATTCTTTTTTTTCACTTTCATAACTGCAAACACCAACTTATCTCTATGACTGCTGTAATTTTTGTTTTTTCCCTCACCATATCATGTAAACAGAACATCATATTCAATATTTTTAATCATGCAAGGATTTGTATACCGCATCGACAATACTGTGTGAAACAAGCCCACGGCAATTTCCACTTGTATTATTATCATTACCTTAGCTGCTATCATTACTATTATTTCCATTTAAATGCTCCATGTTTCCTATTTTTCTTTATAATAACCCTATTGTAAATGTAGAAAAATTTTTCTGTGTGATTAATTTTATTTATTATTATTGTTCCCTTGGGTTCCTAGTGGAACATAGGGCTTCAACTGCACGTCTCCACTTGCTTCTGTCTTCTGCTGTTCTTTTCACTTGCGTCCATGTTATTCCATACTGTTTCATCTCCTCCTCACACGATCTCCTCCATGTCACCCTTGGACGTCCCACTCGCCGCTTCCCTTTCGGGTTCCACTCGAGCACTGGCCTGACGCGCGATGTCACTCAACGGCCTCCTCAGCGAGTGTCCAATCCATCTCCACTTTCTCCTGCATATTTGTTGAGCGATTGGTTCCTGTTTCGTTTGTTCCCATAGCTTCTTGTTTGTGATTCTTTCTGGCCATCTAATCTTCAGTATGGAGCGAAGACAGTTGTTGATAAAGGTCTGCAACCTGTTGAAAATATTCTTGGTGACCCGCCAAGTTTCTGATCCGTAAAGCAAAATTGACTTGACGTTTGTATTGAAAATCCGAATTTTGTTGTTGATGGTGAGTGACGAAGATTTCCAGATTGGTTTCAGGTTGATGAATGTGTTTCTCGCCTTCCCGACTCTCGATTTGACATCCTCGTCCGTTCCTCCTGTAGTTGAGACAATGCTCCCCAGATAAGTGAAAGAAGTAACCTCTTTCAAATCCCTCCCGTTGATGGTGATTGGCACTGGATGTTGCTGCTGTTGTTGGTTGGTTATTTTCATAACCTCCGTCTTGTCTATGTTGACCTGGAGTCCTGTCTTTGCTGCTTCTTCGACCAGTTTGTCGGTTTTTGCTTGTAAGTCTTCGATTTTGTGTGACATCAAACATAAATCATCCGCAAAATCCAGGTCTTCTAGGTTCTTCACGTCGGTCCAGGATATCCCTGTCTTCTCGTTTCCCACTGTCTGACGCATAATCCAGTCCACCACAATTAGGAATATCATTGGTGATAATAAGCACCCTTGTCTGACTCCTATGTTTACTCCAAACACCTCGCTGAGTTTTCCGTTGTGGATCACTTGACATGTCCCGTTGTCGTACAGTTGTTGAATAAGGTTGATGAATATTTGCGGTACGCCGTAGTACTCGAGTAGTTTCCAAATTACTTCGCGGTCAACGCTGTCGAAGGCCTTCTCAAAGTCTATGAAGTTGAGGTAGAGATTTGATTGCCATTCCATGCTTTGTTCGATGATAATGCGTAGAGTTGCAATTTGGTCAGAACATGATTTGCCTTTCCTGAATCCAGCTTGTTCTGGTCGGAGTTCTGTATCCAGTGCGTCCTTGATTCTCTCCAGGATGATGCGACTCAGGATTTTACTTGGCGTCGACAGGAGCATGATTCCTCGCCAGTTCTTGCAGAGTCCCAAGTCGCCCTTCTTTGGTAGTTTCACCAGGTAACCTTTCCTCCAGTCAGTAGGCACCTTTCCCTCCTTCCAGATCTTTTGCAATAATGGAGTCAGCATATCTGCCGTCGTTTCTGGGTCCGCTTTCAGTGCTTCCGGGGGTATTCCATCTGGTCCAGCTGCTTTTCCAGCTTTCAGAAGCTTGATTGCATTCATGACTTCAGTTTTCGTTGGAGGATTGGTGTCAACTTGCAGTTGTGTACGTGCTGTTGTTGGTATTACTGGACGGGTTGTAGGTGATGGTCGGTTCAAGAGTCCTTTGAAGTGGTCCGCCCATTGTTTAATCTGTCTTTCTTCCTTGGTAATTGGGTTCCCTTGGCTGTCTTTTATAGGTTTCACTTGTGTTGATCTCTTCCCGGATAGAGACTTGGTTATCTGATATAGTGTCCTCAGGTCCCTTTTGCCTGCTGCCTTCTCAGCTTCAGTAGCCAGGTTGTCGTAGAATTGTCTTTTGTCCTTCCTGGCACTCTTCTTCACTTCTTTGTCCAGTGCTGTGTAAGTTGAGTTCAGCGTCTCTTTCTCTTGTCCATCTTTGCATTGAATCATTTTCTCTTTCACTTTTCTCCTCTCCTCTATTAGTTTCCAAGTGTCTGTTGAGAGCCATTCCTTGTCTTGTTTCTTCTTTCTTCCTAAAACCGTTGAGCACGTTTCGTTGAAAATTACCTTCAGAGAGTTCCAATGGTCTTCCACGGATGATTCCTCAGTGGTGCCTCGTAGTGTTTCCTGCTTTGCTCTGACAGTTGCAGTGAAAATGTCCTGTGTGATTGTGTCCTTCAGTTTGTGAGTGTTGAACTTGCATTGTGGCCTATCCCCAGGTATCCTCGAGGCTTTCAGCTTCACCTTGAAAGTCCCTTGTACCAGATAGTGGTCTGAACCCACATCTGCTCCTCTCCTCGATCTTGTGTCCAGTAGGCTCCGTCTCCACTTCCTTGAGATTGAAATGAAGTCTATCTGGTTTTTGGTGTGTCCATCTGGTGAAATCCATGTTGCCTTGTGTATATCCCTGTGTTTGAACACACTGCCACCAATCACCAAATCATTGAAGGCGCAGAAGTCTGAGAAGAGTTCACCATTTTCGTTCATTTCACCGAGGGCCTCACGACCCATGGTGAGTTCTCTTCCTGTATTGTCTCCTCCCAGTTTCGCATTCATGTCGCCCATCAGGATTTTGATATCGCTCTTTGGGACGTTGTCCATTACTGTTTGTAGTTGACTGTAGAAATCCTCCTTCTTCTCATGTTCTGAGGCGTTTGTAGGCGCGTAGCACTGAATGATTGTAACCTTCTTTCCTTTTGAGTTGAACCTGGCTGTCATTATCCTGGAGGAGATTGGTTCCCACTGCATGAGAGCTTTAGCCGCTGTTGGTGACATCATGATGGCTACTCCCTCGGTGTGCTCGTGATTGTCCTCTGGGTGACCGGAGTAGATTATTGTCTCTCCAGTTGATAGTTGGCTCCTTCCACATCCGTTCCATCTGCTCTCGCAGATTCCCAACACTTCTATTCTATATCTCCTCATTTCTGCGGCTAACTGAGTAGCCTTCCCAGCTTCGTACATTGTACGAACATTCCACGTCCCCATCCTTATTTTCGCTTTCATCGAAAGAAGGCACATCGGCTTACTGGCTTCCCGAAGGCTTTCACCAGCCTGCGTCATTTCACTTCCCCGATTACAGCGAAAAATAAGGTCACTATTTGTAATTTTAGAATTTTGAATATATTTGTGCGTTGAAGTTTTAGTAGCAATTTGGTTAAGTTTTGGGGGTGGAGTTGCTAGCACCACGCCCCAACCCTCCCTCTTTATCCGGGCTTGGGACCGGCTAGAATACTAGTGACCTAGTAATCTAGGCGAGGTTAATTTTATTTATAATTTGAGGATATTAGAT